CTTGGGGTTGGGCCTCGTTTCCTGGTGTGGGGCCCTTGAGCGCGAAACTTGCCCTCCTTGGGCTTGGTTTCTCCATCCTAAAATGGGGGCAATGATCCCGGCGCAGCGGGTGTTGCAAGGCCCCTTGAAACCGGCCAGGGAAGGCCCCCTTGTTCCCTTTCCCTGCCCCCCTACCCCCCCCCCCCCCCCCGCAGGAGGCTGTCACCTAGGAACGCCTCCCAGCCTCCCCTCCACACACACTCATTCTAAGATTGGGGGGTTCACCTGGCCTTGAGAGAGCCCTCTTCCCTACCAGCACCCCCAATTCTGGAGCCTCTGTGCTTTAGGGCATAGTTGCTGAGAACCCAGAGACAAGGAGAGGAAGGGGCCCCAGCTGTGGGGGGCTTTCCCTCTGCAGGGCACTAGCACCGTCTTCCTCTTTATCTGTCCTGAGAGGGATGGATTAATAGCACCTCAGTGCTTCACAGAAGGGGGAACTGAGGCTTGAATGGGTGGGCCAGAGCCTGACATTTCTTTAAAAAGAGAGAGAGAGAAAGAAAGAAAAAGGTGGAGAAAGGCTGGGCAGGGAGAGCCCTGTTCCAGGATCTCACCACGCCTCCCGCGGACAAGTTCCGCTTGTGACCCGCCCAGTCTGTGCCCGTGAAGCTCAGCGGAAGGCAACTGGAGAGAAATGAATGGGAATCGGCCTGCCGCAGCGTCCCATCTGAGACCCCCTGTGAGGTCTAGAAACAGGGGCTGGGCCCTCCCCCCTCCGCTCAGACCCACCTGCCCCTTCACCTGGAGCCACACCTAAGGGCCCCAGCTTCTCAGACTCAGCTGGCTCAGCCCTTCCCCCTCACACACACACACCCCTGCCCCGCTCTCTGCTGTGGGAGATGGCAAGACCATCTGTCCAGATGCCTACGCCTAGAACTGGAGTCACACTCGCCACCTGTCTCCCCATCTCCTCTCCGTCGCTGGCATCCCTGTCCAGGACTGTGTCCTCCCCACCCTGTTTTATGGTGACACTCTCCTGGGTTCGGGCACTCTGGGCTCTGCTGTGAGCCTCTGCCCACCCTCCGCTCAACGGCAGGCAGAGTGATCCTTGTCAAATATAACTACGAGCACGTCATCCCCGACGGACAGCCCTGGGAGCTCCCTGGGACCCCCGATCCTTAGGCAGTCAGGTGAGGTCTTTTATTCTTTTCATCACCTTTCCCTGGCTCGGTGCTCCTTCTCTTGTTGCGCCTCCTTGGCCACAGACAGCCTGGATGCAAGCCACTGTCCTACACATGTGCGCGCATACACGCCATCTTCCTAGTGGGTCACACGGTTATTAATCCCTCACCCGGATGGCCCCATCCCCTCCTGTCCTGCAGAACACCGACTTATGAGGTCAGAAAAGAGCCTGGGTTTTAGAGACAGGGGTTTGAATTTCAGCTTCTTATTCTTTTATTCAGCAGATATTTATTGAGCACCTGTTATGTCCCAAATGCTGTTTTACCCACGGGAATGCAAGAGTGTATAAAATATATACGTATGTATTGTCCTTTCCCTCTTCAAGGTTATAGTCCAGTGTCGGAGATAGACTTTAACCCGAGCATCGCCCAGGGAAAGTTACTCTGTGCCAAGGGCTAGGAAGGAACGGTACTGAGCATTATGAGGGGTTGACCGAGGCCAGATCGTTAAGGAAGGCTTCCCTAGGGAAGGCCCTCTTTGGGTTGAAATCACAGTTAAGTGGACAAAAGGGAAGACAGGGAGAAGGAAAGGCAAGGCAGGCGGGAACAGGCATTTCCTAGCTGTGGGAGCTTGGGCAAGTTACTTGATACCTTTGAGCCTCAGTCTCCTCACCTTCAAAATGGGTTGATCACAGTAGTTTCAAAGGCCAGTGTGATGAGGCCAAAGTAGAGCCTCCACGGGTGGCTCTGAGCCTCCCTTTTGCTTCTGGCTGTGCCTGTGTCTTAGAGAGGAAATGGCCTAGCCCGGTCTCTGCAGTTACAAAAACCAGGAAGTCACCCTTTGCTGACACGTATCTGAGTTGAGTTTCACTTGTCACCTGCAACTGAAAAAGCCCTGCCCAGCACAGGAAATAAACAAGGCGTCTTAGTCAGATGGTGGCGTGGGAGCAACGGGGTGGACCGGCCATCTGGGTGGACAGCCGGGACAGGGCTGCACAGAAGAGAGGACACGCGGGCTGGGGGTAAAGCATTCCATACAGAGGGAACAGCATGTGCAAAGGCTCAGAGGCATGAAGCTCCATGGGGGAAAGGGTGGGTCTTCAGAACTCGAAGACTTTTCTCTCCGCCGATAAGACCCTATGCGCACACAGTAACAGTATGCAGCCAGGCAGCCGCCGCACGTGTCTGTCCCTGTTCCCGGGACGGCTCCGCAGCAGCGTGCCTGGGGCGACGATGGTTCAGTGGAGGCGGTGGCTGCCCTGCTCACCCAGGCCCTTTTCCACGGTTTTCAGAAGAACTGGACAGAGTAAACAGCTGAAAACCGAGGAGTGTCTTCAGGCAGCTTCCGAAGCCAGCCTCGCTGGCAAGGACTCTCCCCAACTAGATGCTAATAAACTCCTTATCTCTCACCTGGTCCCAGCCGGAGCCCTGTCTTCCGAGGACACAGCGAGGAGGCGATCCCCTCGCAGGCCTGGCTCCTGCAAAAGTGTACTAAGAGGATTTTCTAAGAACGTTTTAGCCCACGGGGCTTTCCTAATCCGGTCGGCAAATATTCTTCTGTTTAACCTCATTGATCCTCCTTTTTAAATGGGATTTGTCTCCCTGAGACAAATGGCTAAATCGATAGGACCGCAGCCCGGATTTTCTGTGGCTGCTGCCCTGGCTGCTATCAAAAGAATCCACGCCGTTTTAAACCCAGACGGGTTTGGTTCCTTGGCGACAGGTCACCCCTGAGCTCTCCCCCCACCCCCACCCCCCGCCCCGGCGCCAGCCCTGCTGATGTGCTCAGCCTGGCTCGGTGGAGCCCAGGCAGAAGGATTGAGATGACCCGCCATCTGCATCCACCCTGCGGCTGGAAAAGCCACCTCATTGATTGATGGTGACCTGAGGCCTCGGCAAACCCCAAGGTCAGTGCCCAGGTCCCAGCCCTCCCCAGCTCAGAAGCACGGGGAGCCGAGAGCAGCCATGTCAGGCAGGCGGAAACAGTTATGCCAGAAGGTAGTACAGGCATGCAGATAGAGGAAGGGAGATGGGCTCACAAGTCAGACAGTCCTGGGTTCAAATCCCTCCTCTCTGACTTACTAGCTCTGGGACCTGGAGCAAGTTACTTAACCTCGCTGAGCCTGAGTTTCCTCATCTTTAAAATGGTAACATTAGCCCTAGCTGGGTTTGCTCAGTGGATAGAGCATCAGCCTGCAGACTGAAGGATCCCAGTTCGATTCCAGTCAAGGGCACATGCCTGGATTGTGGACTTGATCTCCAGTGGGGAGCGTGCAGGAGGCAGCTGATCAATGATTCTCATCATTGATGTTTCTATCTTTCACTCTCCCTTCCTATCTGAAATCAATAAAAACTATATTTTTAAAAAATAATAATAAAAGCATAATATGCTAATTAGACCAGACGGCCAAACAGCAGAACAACCTTCCAGATGAAGCCGGGGCTGCAAGGGCTGAGCCCCTTGCGTGAATTTTGTGCATCGGGCCTCTAGTAAAATAAAATAAAATGGTAACATTAAAGGGAGGAGGGGTTGGGAGAAGTGATTGAGAAGTATAGATTGGTAGTTACAAAATAGTCACAAGGATATAAAGTTCGGCATAAGGAATATAGTCAATAATATATATATATATATTATTGACTATATATATAGGACAGCCCCCAGGCTGTCCGTCTGGGGATGACGTGCTCCTCCCACATGGCCTAAGTGACCGTTACAACCAAACAATGACCGGAACAACCAGTTGCTATGGTGCACATTGACTAACAGGGAGCAGACGCTCAATGCAGGAGCTGCCCCCTGGTGGTCAGTGCGCTCCCGCAGCCAACCTCCCACAGCCCATCCTCCCAGCTAGCCACCCCATCGACCTCGATCCGGGGGAGTCAGCTGGCCAACCTCCCCCAAGCCAGCCAACCTCCCGGGGTCCCTCCCCCTGGCCAGCCACCGCCCCCCCCAATAGCCCTCGATTGCCAGCCAGGCCAAGGGACCCCACCTATGCACAAATTTGTGCATTGGGCCTCTAGTATTGTAATAACTCTATAAGGTGCCAGGTGGGTACCTGAACTATAGGGAGGATCACTTTGCAAATTATGTAATTGTCTACCACTATGTGGTACACCTGAAACTAATATAAAATAATACTGAATGTCAACTGTAACTTAAAATGAAATTTTTTTATGCTAACATCAATATTTACTATGCAAAACTATTATGAATAAATGACATGCTGTACTTAGGAAATGGTAAGTTGATATTAGTGAGGTTTTGTTATCATAATGCTGCATAACAAACAGCCCCCCCCTCAACTTAGTGGCTTAAAACAACAAACACTTGTTTCTCACTACTGGTCTGTGGTCAGCTGGGAAGGTCGTACAACTCTTCTATAAGTTTGAAATTATCTCAGAATGAAAGAAATCTTAAATGAATGTATTGATTAGAAATGCCTTCAGCTGTGAGTATCAGAAAACCTGACTGCTCGTGGCTTATACAATAAAGACATTTAATTCTCTAATGCAGTGGTTCTCAACCTTGGCTGCACATTAGAATCACCTGGGAATCTTTTTTTTTTTTTTTCAAAATAAATATATTGCCTCACTTCTTTTTCTTTACTGGGGAACAGAACAGGGACAGGTTGTCCTCTGCCTGGACAGGGTCATAGGATATTGATTTTGGTCACAGAATGCCTAATCTTTCCCCAACAGAGAGAATTTCTTAATTCAGGTCCTCAGGAACCAGTTTTGTTCTGCATTATAATGTTTTTATCCTCCAAGTGGAACTGCTGATGACCATCCTTCTCTTCCGCACACTGTAATCAGCAGCAATTAATTCTTTCTATACCCCAGACCTCAGGCCACGATAGGTTATCCTTCAATGTTTGATAGTAGCAATGGGTTGCCCAAAAGAAGACATCTGGGCTGGGATACTGGTGACTTTTGTGAGCTTGCAGAAGGCCAATGAGCTTCTTGAGGTTGAGCACAGTTGCCCTGGGCTTTCAAGGATACAGGCTTCCTCGGTGGAGGGCACCGCAGCAGTGCTGCCCCCGCTGATGTAGCTGTAGAAGGAGACCTCCAGGGTGTAGCAGGAGGAAGTGTGGTCCAGGAGGCCACCGAGGAAGCGGCGGCCAGTGCCTGCCTTCACGGCGTCTCGGTTGAAGGATGTGCTGGAATAGGAGAAGTCCTCAGCGTTCTGGCAGAGCAGCTTGGGGAAGATGGCCTGCCTCTGGAAGCGCTCCTCATCCTCAAAGACATTGCCGTACAGGAAGCCATTCATCATGGTAGAGTGAGCATGGATGTCGATATAGAACTCCAGGCTTGTTTTTGGGTCGTTGTACATCTGGATGATGAGCTGTTTTACCCCATACAGGGTAGGGTGGGCCCATGGAGAGGGATCCAGCCAGTGACGCTTCAGGTCAAACCCCATCAGAGAGCACCTGTAATTGCCCGGGTAGACTCCATCAGGGTTGAGCATTGGTGCAATCTTGAAGACCAGGTGTTCCCGCAGGACACGAGCCATTGGGTGCTGGCTTATGAGGAAGCCAATGATCCCTTGGCACACAAAGGAAGAGGGTGTTTCCCCTGGGTGGACTCGACCCGTGATGAATACCACCTTCTGCTCTGCCCCTTCCCGAAGATTGTCTCATGGGTGACTCGGGAGTCAGGTGGGCTGGCGTACCTTACGGTGCCCGGACGTGGTGGGCATCAGCGGCAGGCTAGCAACCGCCTCTCCAGGGCGGTTCTCTGTGCCCAGGGACTGGGGAAGGCTGGCCAGGGCTCCTCTCCTCCTTCCCCTGGGAATCTTTTTAAAATCCTGATTTCTGGGCCTCATCCTCCGGAAATTCTGTTTCTTTGTCACTAATGTTGTGGCCCTACCCCGTAACAAAGAAACAGGCTGCAGGCCTCCCTCGTTCACTTGGCCCACGTTAGCCTTGGAGTCTGACACCTTGCTTTGGAGGAACGTGGTGGTTCTTCCTTCGAAGGACATGAGCAGAGCCCCCGCCAGCCTCTGTAGAGATGGGCCCCACGCCTGTCATATGGAGCAAGCAGAGGCGAGCACGTTCTAGCTCATGGTTCTGCTGAACTCTTTTTAAAAATACATATTTTTATTGATTTTCAGAGAGGGAGGGTGGGGGAGAGAGAGATAGAAACATCCCCGACGAGAGAGAATCATTGATGAGCCGCCTCCTGCCTGTCTCCTGCTGAGGACCTGTGCGCTGACCGGGAATGGGCCTCTGACCTCCTGGTTCGTAGGTCAGAGCTCAACAGCTGAGCCACACCCATGGGCTCTGCTGAACTCTATTGCCAGCCGGGCTTCCAGCGCCACCTGGTGCCTTAAAGGCGAATGGAGGGCTGGCCGCTCACCGGGAGCTGGCAGAGTCTCCGCCAAGCTCTTACCGACTATTCCAGGAAACTTGCCAATCCCGGCGCCCACCATGTTCCTGGCGCGGCCCCACGCCCTGCAATAGTCCGGGGCTGTGAGGGCACCACATGTGACCGTGTGGGGGGACCCTGGGAGAGACAGGGGCAAAGTCCCTACTCTCACAAGGTGGACAGTCCTCTCCAGGAGAGACAAGCACACAGAATAAACAACTCGTGTAAAAGGTGCCGCCGCGACGTGTGACAGGGAGTGTGTGCATGCAGATGGCCAGAGCAGCCCTAGCCGGGTGGCTCAGTGGATGGAGCATCAGCCTGCGGACCACAGGGTCCCGGGTTCAATCCCAGTCACAGGCACTTACTCAGTGGCAGGCTCCTTGGGGTTCGTGATGGAGGCAACCCATCGATGTGTTTCTCTCACGTTGATATATCTGTCTTTCCCTCCCTCTCTCTCTAAAAATCAATGGGAACATATCCTTGGGTGAGGATTAAAATATATATATGTCCAGAGCACACCTCACTATGTAGGGACCTCCCACATGGCCTAAAGAATGAGAAAGAGGCTGATCCGTTTCAAGGAGCCAGAGAAACACATGCCCAAGAGAGGGTAGCACGTGCCAAGGTCCCAGGGCACAGAACAGGTTGGGATGGTCAAGGAAGGGAGGGAGACAGGTGTGGCTGCAGCAGCACCCACGGGTGCCTAAGGGAGGGAGGCAGAGGAAGGGACTGGCAGGAGAAGATGGAGTACCAGGCCAGCTCTTGAAGATCCCCATAGACCACGGTTAGGCGTTTATAATTTCTTCTAAAAGCAACGGGAAGCCATTGAAGGGTTTTCAGCAGGTGACTTGACTTAACTTACATGTTTTGGACAACTAGCACTATCATCATTGCGGTGGTGTTTCATATAGTGTGGCTGCAACACCAGGCCAGATTGTCCATCCCTCTGAGCATTAAAACACTGCACTCACCACTCACCCTCCCCGTGCTCCCCTAGGGCCTGCTCTGAGGGTGAGCGACTGAGCTGTCACTCCCATCAGACCCCAGGAAAGTGCCATCCCTGACTCCCTCAAGCTGGGGACGCCCCTCACACGAGGACACCCTGCAACCACCATCTCCCTCCAGCAGCCGGTGTTTCCGCCCTGACTGTACAAAGCGTTGCTGTGGAAGAGCATGGCCAGCAGGTCAAAATATTTTTTAAAAAAGCAAGTTACATGCAAATTCAGTATATATGAACACAATCCATGTGTGTGTGTGTGTGTGTGTGCTAATAGTTAACTAGGTGCCCAAGATTAACAGCAATTACCTCTATATCACAATTTCCCTCTTTTTTTTAAAAAAAAGCCCTGACCGGTTTGGCTCAGTGGATAGAGCGTCGGCCTGCTGACTCAAGGGTCCCAGGTTCGATTCCGGCCAAGGGCATGTACCTTGGTTGCGGGCACATCCCCAGTAGGGGGTGTGCAGGAGGCAACTGATCAATGTTTCTCTCTCATCAATGTTTCTAACTCTCTATTCCTCTCCCTTCCTCTCTGTAAAAAAATCAATAAAACCTCTTTTTTTAAAAAAATATTTTTATTGATTTCAGAGAGGATGGGAGAGGAAGAGAGAGAGAACTATCAATGATGGGAGAGAATCATTGATCGGCTGCCTCCTGCACACCACCTACTGGGGATCGAACCCACAGCCCTGGCATGTGCCCTGACCGGGAATCTAACCATGACCACCTGGTTCATAGGTCTGCACTCAACCACTGAGCCACGCTGGCCGGGCTATATCACCATCTCTCGATCTCAGCACTATGAACATTTGGGGCCAGATAACTCTCTGTGGTGGGGGCCCGTCTGTGCATTGCAGAACTTTAGCAGCACCCCAGCCCTCTACCCACTAGATGCCAGCAACACCCCCTAATGGTAGCCATGGAAACATCTGCAAACATTGCTGTAGGTCCCGAGTGAAGGGGTTCCAGCCGCTGGAGAGCCACCGCCCTCGGTGATGTTTCCCTTTGTTTTTGGCATATCTGCCCATTTTCAGTTGTGTGTTTTTTTTCCTAAAATAGACATAATGTACTTTAATCGTGTAAAAAAATTCAGTGTTTCTTAATGTCCCATTGCCTGTGCTGTCAAAAAAAACCAAAACACTCAGATGAAAAGATGTTCATATTGATAATAAGTAAACTAACTTTATTATGATTTTAAAATAAGTATAAAAAACACATACAAAGGCCTCCCCGCTGTCCGTATTCTTCATGGGGCTTTCAGATAGCCACAGCCTTTAGACTAGACATTCTGAGCGTAAGTACACACCTTCACAAAGAATTCTACATGTAGAAGAGGCTTTACAAATATGGTTAATCTCCACAGGGTCACTCATAAAAGCAAAAGTTATAGACACTAAAGCCAGCACTAGGAAACCGAGTCGGTCACGGCACATTCCCTGGGCAGACTACGTACAGCATTAACGGGACACTTACAGAGCACGGGTAGCAACGGGAGAGCGGGCTATGGCAGGTCGGTAAGTGGGGGAAATGTGTACAAAATTGGCGCTGTCGCGTCGCCACTGGCAAGTGGGACTGTAGCGGCGATGAAAAGCATCGCAGCGCCCACAGCTGAGACACACCGAGACGTCAGAGTGGCTGTCTGCTTCCCAGTGGCGTTCTGGGTGATTCCTGTCTCTCTGGTCTCCTGGCCTGTCCAAACATTCTATAAAAAGCATGTGTGTGCGCACAGCGAGAGAGAAGACAGTAAAATAGGTATTTTTAAAAACTTCACAATGGCCCTGACCAGTTTGGCTCAGTGGATAGAGCATTGGCCTGCGGACTGAAGGGTCCCAGGTTGGATTCCGGTCAAGGGCATGTGCCTTGGTTGTGGGCACATCCCCAGTGGGGGGTGTGCAGGAGGCAGCTGGTCAATGTTTCTCTCTCGTCGATGTTTCTGACTCTCTATCCCTCTCCCTTCCTCTCTGTAAAAAATCAATAAAATATATTTTTTAAAAAAAACACAAAAAAAAAACTTCACAATGATCACCAACAAAAATGTGCCAAGATCCAGGTAAGAAATATGTCTTTAGATGGATCGATGCACGAATTTCCATCCAAACCATAAAAATAACTTTGTTAGAAAATTAAACACATGCAGAAAGTACAATAGAGAGCAAATGTGATCATATCGACATTCGCCAGCTCCGGGGAGGGTGCAGTCTATGGGGTGATTAGCCTACGCAGATGGTCAGCAAAAGGCTGAATGTAGTAACATGACGAATGGCAAACACAGGGTGGTTTTTATGAAAAACAAACTGGATAAACATTTTTCCAACCGAGGATCACATTCTTCAAAAACAGAGGCCCTCGTTTAGAAGGAGATAAAATGGGCTTTGACTAGAATGAACGAACGAGGATGGATTTCAGCCGCCTCATCGATTTTGACCTGACTTGTTGACATTCACCCGGGATGATGGGCCACCCGGCCCGCGGGAAACAACTCCGGCAGACAAAAGACAGGCCTGGAACCTGTAAGGCAATATTTGCCCAGCCTGGCCGCCCCAGGTGGCTCCGGGGAGCGCCCTTGTTCGCGCACCCCTCGCCCCGGCCTTCCATGCGGACGCAGACTAGATCTTACAATAGACCTCAAAGAGGGAGGCAGCTGCGTGCATTCGGTAGAAAATGGAGAAGGGCATGGCCAGGTTGACCACGATGATCCAGGGCTCGAAGCCAAAGACGATTTCCTCCAAGCCGTTGTCGTACTCAGGCCGGCAGCCGAAGGCGGGCGGGATCCACAGCTGCAAGAGAAGGAGATCGTGCTGGCCACCGCCGAGGAGACCCAGCCAATCCCGGGCCCCTGGGCAGGGAGCCTGAGGTACACCTGTCAGTGATGCGCAGCCTCTGCACCGGGGCTGTGCGGTCCCCAATGTGCCTTCCTTTCCCGAGTCTTCAGGGCTTGGCTCCTGCCTCTCTCTCTATCAGGGACACCTGGCTTCCCTCTGCTAAACCCTACCTTCCTCCAAGTCCTGAGACACCACCTCTCCCAGGAAGCCCTTCTGGATGGAACCAGTCTGGGCAGGAACTCCCTCTGTGCTCCCGGGGCCCCCAGTGTTTACCTACAGCAGAGGCTGCCTGTTGGTCTCACCCACCTGCACGTACCTACACTGGTG